TGAAATCAGGATAAATGTATGTATAATACAGATGAATACAAAACTGAAAACGTGTACCATAATTGAACCCTACTTACATGTCATTTAGATACTGTTTAAGTGTGTCCCCGTTTATGTATGACAGTACTAAGTAAAAGTTTCTGTCCGTTTCCATCCATTCTTTCAGACGTACGATGTTCTGGTGGTCCAGACGTTTCAGGGCGTATAACTCTCGGTTAAATCTTCTCTTTGATCTCTCTTTTTGAAGGATCGACTTCTTTGGTACCACCTTAATGGCAGCCTTTAAAATATAAGTACATATTGTGTTCATATACTCCTTTCTTCAAAAGTTAGTAATATATATGTCAATTAAGTTTCAGTCCCAAATATACTTAAGTTTATAAAACAAAGAATTGTTCCTTTAAATATATATCATCAACTTTAAGGATGTTTGTGTGCTTTCAATCAGATTGACAAATAAAACAGTTGAATCAGTAGTCATGAATATTATTTTAATTCGATAACATTTTTGAAGAATAGATTTTTTAGTTCATATTGATAATACCAGATGTCAAGAAAAGTTTGGGAGACGTAGATTTTTTTTTCAATAATTTGTCTATTAATAGTAACGAATATACTCACATGTTCTCCGCTGAGGAGATGGGTCCCAAACCTCACGGTGGCAAAAGCCCCCTTCCCTAACACTCGTCCAATATTGTAGTTACCGACCCTCTTACGTTTGTCAGTCAATACAAAAGTTTCTTTGAAAACTGTCTCAAATAAATCCAATGACATGTTGATGTTAGTTCATCTGATGATTAGAATCGTGAAATTACAGAGATTAATGATAGATTCTCTGCTTCAAGCACGATCGTCGATGTGTTTCATCGCCTTTCCTTTCCAGACCAAACTTTCGAATGTAATTATGAACTTCAGATATAATCCAACCCTGTAAAATTATGATTGGGGTTTAAATTCTCTTCATATCAATTAGTTTTAGGCTACTGAACAAATATTGAAACGTGGTGCTTTCATGACCATCATTTGTTTGTCTGAGAAAACTCGGATTAGAATATAAAGGCGCAATGACTAAGTAAGACACGGGTTTGGTTATTGCTGGATTTATTCCAATGTTTCTTAATTCTTATACCCATTGAAGTGTTTACATGGTCTATTAATAACAAGTCTTAATCTTTTTTGCACTTTACTTTTAATTGGTATTCCATTCATACACCGGTCTGAGAGTTATTTAATAAATGAATGTTGCCAATACACAAAACCGTAAAGAAATGTATAGATAAAAATGAAGAAAACCCAGCGCCTTCAATTTTCTGAAAAATAATTTTTAGGTATATTTGAATTAAAACGAAGAGAGAAGTGCAAAAATACTTAAGTAAATTATATAGCTTAGTAATATTACAAACAAGTTTATATGAGAGAATTAAGTATGACTGTACAAGAATTCGTGGTCCAAACCATAAAGGTACAATTCAAAATGCATTCGTTTAAATTTTTACATTCCAATATTTCCTACCACATTTGTTACATTTTGATAACACTCAAGGTTTAACATGCCAATATATCAGTTCTCAATCTTTGTCTTTAAACGCTATATAAATATATCGTATGAATTTTAAATCAAGCCTATAAAAACTTCAAAGGTATCAAATGATTGAAGATAATGGACTGAACCCAAAATAGAAGTTTAAGAACATATACACCGAAATTTGTACATGTATTTTCGTACACATTTAAAAGTAAAATTTAAACGTAGTTAAATCTAGGAACATTAAAAATTCGCAAAACTGAGGGGAAATGATCTGATCCTAACGGTATCGAATGAAAGGTATATATAATACTTTTATTTTTAAAATCTTCCACCAATTACGTATAACTATCTTTTTTGAGATCAAAAGATCTAATTGAAAAAGTAATCATTTCCTTTAATGTATTCGGCATAATCCTAGCTTTACTGGCACAATCATTGGTAAATATAAAATAATTTATATTTGAAAATATAAATTTTACTGAAAGAATACTTGTAAATCGAAACAGATATAATACTTTGTAGAATTTTTTGGTTATGAAGAGCAAAGAATGATATCAAAAAACCTAAAAACTTTTTAGATCATTGAATTCAAGAGTTCATATTTTCGCCAAAACATATTATATTATTATATACGTCTTCATAGGTTATTTGTATAATTTGCTAAATAATTTATATTTGAAAGTATACACAGTTATTAAGATATTTATTCTGCGTAAAAAGTGTCCATCTCTATTTCGCTATTTTAAAACATTTTTATTCATAATTAAACGATTTCTTAATGTTTAGTTATCGTTATCAGTTCTGAGAAACTAGCTAATAAGTTTTAAATTGCTACAAAAAATATTCACCGTAGTTACAAAAATGAACTTACCCTTTATTTTCCAACCTTCGAATTTATTTTCCAACTTTCGAATCCATGTTTTTACCTGTTTACACCTTTTGTGACTCAATATGTATCCGAAATGAAATACTTCCCTGTATTAAAGCTTCAATCACCTATCAAGGAGGGCTTTTCCCTTTATAGCACCAATATATCCAAAACTTTAATGCTTCAAGTATGTGTTTTTAAAAAGAACAGAATACATTTAATGATCGGCGATTAATAGTCCCATATCAGGTCGCAAACAAATTGAGGCTCAGTTTTCAGGACTGTGTCTGTGTATTCGTATTGACACTCGAATAAAGAGCCTCTAGTAAATCTGAGAGAAAATTAATCACACGTCGATTTTCTCAATCGTATCTACCTTTCTGGATGTTTTAATCCCGATTATTTCTTCTATTTGACCGAACATGCATTGACAGCTGAGAAAAACACTCCAGTTTAATAGAGAGGAATAAATCACTATACTTAATCAGTTTTACACATCGCATCCACTCGAACGTAGAAACAGGATTTGGTTTTTTGATATGCTATGCCTATTCTAAGTGGACTTCTAAAGTTTGATTGATAAATACAGCCGAGATTTGATTAGAATTTAAACCGATAAATAAATCCTGTGATGATAGAAAGATGTGTTTGTCATTTATTGATACTTGGTTCGTTTGAGCAAGAACCGTATTGATGACGTCACAGATAAGGGGATATTGAACATTATCGCAAAGATATCTATGGAGATTAGAATTTGTGAACAAAGAATGTATTTATATAATTAAACAATACACAAACAATAAATACACATCCCTCAGTCACGTTAACCTCTTCCGTGCAATACAAGTTTACAGAGTGCATTTTTGCCATTTTTGGTGCACTCATTTTAATTAAAGGGGACGTAATTTAATTGGAATGCGTTTAAAATGCACATTACTTTTATAGCCACCTCAAAAATGTCTCCATAAGCCTTAAAGGTACATGTATATATGATTTTAATTTGTAGATGTGATCCTGCTCAGGTAGTGATTCTGTCATAATCTGCATATCCACGATTACCTAACTTGACTACGTAAGTTAGTGTCAAGTACAGACCGAAATTCAATAACATTGAAAGGCTTTAAGACAACACATTGACAGCTGCTTATATAATAGAAAATGAAATGGAACTGGTTTTATTAACCTGATTTGATACGCAAAAGCATGTTCTACGTAGGAACAATTTCTTAACCGAGGCAATCAATTGACAAATAAGTTCATGCCACAAGGATATCTACAGCCTTGTTTATAGTCAACATCTTGCAAATTCTTTTGTTGGCGTCATTAGCAAATCTAATCTATCGTTAGGTCGCACGGCTAACGTTTATCATACAATGGTTAGACTATTATTTTTACTCTGAATTGTCTACGGTATTTTCTATTTGCCCGAACATAACAAGGAGCACATGGCAGGTGTGACTTTAATAGGGAATGATTATACCTTCACAGCACTTGATCCCACCTCTGATATTTTCAACAGTTTGCGTCTATATTATGAATAACAAAATGTTGAATTTGTTGTAACTTTATATCAAATGTTTTCGCACAATCATTTCTATGACTTTTATGGCAACAAGAAATCCTTTTGACAACATCTTCTTTAGTCTGATGTGGTTTTGACTTTTTTCAGGTATAATATTTTGTTGACAAACAGAAACATTTGCAGCAGCAACATCATTACTTGGATCCAATTCTAAAACTTTCACAAAAGAATCAAATGCCTTGTTGTATTCTTCACAATTCACATAGCAGTATCCGAGTAACTGAAAGTCAATTCCAACTTGAGTAACGAAACAGTTTTCTGCAAACTTCGTAAGGATAGCCAAAAATGGCAGATTCAAGTTGGTGTAACATTTTATCAGATAATAATATGCCAAAGTTAACGAGGATATGTGAAGCATCTTTGTATGAGAAAACTCCCTTTGTAACATTTGGTCAAGAGTTACATTTTCATTTGTATTGTAACAGTTACTAAGGTGGTTAGATTTCTCCTCCAAATGGACAAACTGCTCCAGAAGAAGTGTCGCTTCCCTCCATTTTTGTACATGGCACAAGTAATTTGCAAAATCAATGGTTGTTGCGAAATGTACGCCCTCTGAAGCAAGAACCTCTTTGAAAAGTTGTTCGGCTCTAGAAAGTTGTTCGTTTGTATGGTAGCTATCTAACTGAGATCCAACAAAATACATGCACGCCAAGTTTCCTTTCAGTTTCACAACATCTGGATAAACGCTTTGTAGTTGTAGGAGAGATTCGAAATATTTCTGGGTAAGTTCAGTATCGCCTAAATTCAATCCAATGAGATTAAGTAGGTCAATGATATAAATAGCTGGCAAATGTGACCTTAAGAAAAAATCGAAGAAGGCTTGATGATATTGAAAAGGACTACAATTTTCTTTCAGTCTGATCAAAGCTATATCGCATTGTGTTCTCATGAAAGGACCAGTCAAAGACGCTACTATATTCCTATTTTCGGTGTAAGAAGGAATATCTTCTAACACAGACGCTATTACGGACCTAAAAATCACTCTTGTGGTCAAGCATCCGTTCCGTTCAAATACCATGACGTGGTCGTCAGTAAACTTTAACACGGGTGATAACAAGTCTTCTCTTATCATTTCCAGTAAAAGCACAGACTTGTTAATGTCCTCCTCGGTGAAAAGGTCAAGAAGATTGTTTTCTGGAATGAAATAGTTGGGCAAGACACCCAGTTGTAAGCAAACTGCTACACAGTCAAGCAAATACATAATACAGGACCCTGGATTTTCATTCCAAGCACTGACAGGGAGTTTTTCGCAGCAGTAAAGAAAGACATTCTTTAGACAGTAGGAGGATAAAAACTTCTGTGAACTTTCCTCCTGAATTTGATGTCTCAAGAGCTTAAGAAAAATGAAACACTGTCTTTGTGCATTGGTGACTGCACATTTCGCGATCATCTGCTCAACTTCAGCAAATGAAATCCGCCATTCGACCTCGGGGGTTTTGCTCAATTTGTGAGGCACCGGAACAGCATAGCAACCCTTGGAAACGATTGTTTCAATGAGTTCACAACTCATCCAATCATTGGTGCGTTGCCGTCTTAACCACTCGTCCGCAACACTTGGCCAGTCATCACAGTGAAATCCATGTATATGGTCGTAAGGGTTGATCATTTTCTGATGACGTCTGTCATACGTGAAAGGTTTTGTATCTTGATATTGGAGAGCTGGTCCATGTAATTCATACATTTCCCTTTCAGCTTCTGAATCCATCGGAATCTGATTTAGAAACTCTTCTTGGTACTTCGTTCCACTCATGAAGTAAGAGTTAGTTTCAACTTCATGCACCACGGCAAAATGATCCATTTTGGGTTTCTTTATTAGTTTAACCCTACAGTATCCTGGATGAACGTTTTCTGTATCCAGATACATCATATATTTTTCATCGGTCATCTTTGTTTTGTCACCACAAACCATGATTTTTTCATTTGTTAGAATGACATCAACATCTGACATAAACTCGATACTCCCTCTAGTGGCAAGTACGGCGTCCGGAATGTTGTATCCTTCCGCTTTGCTTCCAATGGGGATTACTTTCAGATCATCAAGCTGTATTGCATTCATTCCGTTAAATACTTTGTCTATTTGGTCCCGAATTCTTTCTTTACCGACATAACGTCTTGGGATAAGAATCTCCATAATATAAGACAAATGGAGGGTCGGAATACCGGATATTGCATCAATGTCAATAGGAACATATTCCGGAAGGAAATCCATGTCCGGTTCAATTACTGAAATGAAAATTAAAAACCTCAAATATATACGATGACCTCACTGGTTGCAAAAAACAATTAAAAAAAAATTATACTAGTCTATAAGACAAGAATGCTCCAACTTATACATAAATTGAAGTTAGTTGTATTTGTCTTTCAACTAAAAAAATGTCCTTATTTCTTCCAGATAGCCAGTAGTATATGATGAAAGAAGTAAAATTAGCTGTAGCTTAAAGGGAATAAAGTGAGATAAAAATGAAAGAGAACGTCGAGGTAAAATAACCTAGCTGACATCCTTGATATGCTATCTCATGAACGTTTTAGTGCATAAAAAAGTAATTAAAATACCCTGAAAACTTTTGTTGAAATCGTGTTAAGTGATAATTGACTATAAAAAATTAGAGCTTCCTTTCAAGATAAAAAAACAAAACAAAATACTTTGAAACACTCTCCACAATATGTGTAAATGTACATGTATACATGTAACTCTCAACAACATCAAACAAAGAATAACTGCGCCACGTTTTTTTAGCCAAAAATTGTGTTTAAATGTGTTTGTTTGCTTGATGTCCCTCGAACATTGTCATTAAAAATGACCTAAGCAAAAAAGTAAAAAAGACCGTCAAATATTTTCGTTTAACACTCTTCAGTGGAAAGTCAACAACTTAATCAACAGCTAGGGACATAAATAAACAGAATTAAACGACCATATTCTATGATCCGCGCCATTTTTGTTGAAGGTAACAGAGAAGAGATTTAGAATATGCACAATTTATAAAAAGGTTGTTATAAATTGTTAAACACATATATATGCATCGTAAACAAATTTGGAAAAATGGAAAGACAAAGATACGGAGGGCGAGCATGACAAACACTAAAGCAACTGAAATATATGTTTAAAGAGCACGTTTAGAAAATGTTGGAAAATGTATTATGGAAACAATAATTAAACGACATCAATTTAAACGGTTTTTCATGGATCAAGAGCTATACTTACAAGATACAGTATAAAATATCCAAAAATATCTATCAGATGGCCTTTGCTAGCACGCTGAATACAAGAGCTTTGCGTTGTCAAATGTCAGAGTAGATACAAATCAGTGACCCACATACACGATACTTACAGGGGCACTAGCTACAATATATACATACATATTGACAATTATTTTAATTCTTGCGGTTTGTGAACAGTGGCGTAGTGAAATGCTTACAAAAATTTCCTCCTTTTAGAATTACACAACGGAAAACCCACAAAGATGTTTACGTGCACATAGTTCTGCATTAAACATGTACACGTGTGACAGCTTGCTGCTTATAACAATCCATCATTTCTATTCTGAATTACGATTAATTTTCGCTTAAGTAAAGAAGGAAAAGTATGTTTGCTTAATTCATTTCACTCTCATTCACAAACTATGTTTCTGGCTACATACCTTAGATAAGGCTTGCTGTCCACTACGAGACCATATCAACAGATAAAAATAACTTTCTGACCATCTCCGACTTCCGGGACTCAACCGCGCCTTATTATGAATATTAATGACATGACTGTAGGTTTCAGGTAAATAAAAAAATTACATGATGAATATACCGGCCGCTTTCGCTTTTGATATTATTCCACAGTTTATAACATTTTAAAGGCATTTTATTAGAAGGAAAATGATGCCCCGCGGCTGGTTTTTTCCGCTCATTACTTTGTAGTCTGTTCTTATCAGTATTTAGATTTAAATTAATATGGGCAAACATCACATAGAGAGAAAAAAAATCCAACAAAGATACAGAATGTTTACTCCGACAATTTTTGACAGATTGCTCTCCGTAAATTAGCAAAAATAGCTCCCATTCGTTTTATATCAAATCCATGTGAAATTCATGTGAATTCTTTGCATGAGAAAGAAACGAAAAACACAACCTAATTTATATAAAAACTTCATGTGGATTTGACTTTATTTGAATATTACATAAAGAACATATATATCGCACATATATATATCGTGTAAATAAAAATTCACATAAAAATCAATATGTGAATACATGTATCATACAAGTCAGATCACATGATATTCGTAGTAAAATTTTGAAATAAAAAGAAATCACATAAATATCACGTGAGCCACTTTTCCCTATAAAAAACAAAAGCAATGGTTTTATATATTTGCTCTTTTAACCCTACAGATCCCGTAATGCAAAAAAGGTGAATTGTGCTGTAATATTTTTTGCGCACTTTTAATATTTATTAGCAAAAGTTTCGGTCAATTATAACTACCTTTCACTCCCTAATTTTAGGCACATTATTTAACTAATCCGTATATTTTATCCATCTACCTACCCTTTATAGTCCCCTTTACAAGTTCTAAAGTCGCTTGGTTAAAATTATATGTAAGATTGCTGAAAATTCACTTCAAGTGAGTTTATTGCCTGTAGAGACAACTATAAATGGTTGGGAGGTGGATAAAATATATATATTGGCTACAGAATGTGTCTAGAATTAGGGAGTGGACGGTAGTTGATTGAATAATGCTAGAAAGTGGAGAAATTTTCCCATAAAGTGCGCAAAAAATATTGCGCCGTAAATTGCACCTTTTTGCATTACGGGATCTGTAGCGTTATGGTCAAAGACAAATATGTAAAACCATAACGCTACAGAACTGCAGCTAAGAACAAAACAATGAAATGACTCAATAGCTCTTTTGAGGTTCATGAAATATGATGTAAAAGCAACACTTTTAATATTTGTTAGCAAAAGTTTCGGCAAGCGTTATTAATTTACCCATAGAAAGATTACTTTTACAGTTATCGGGATACTTGTAATTACTAGAGAAATATCTCTATCCGAAAATAAAAAAAAATAATTAAGATACATTAGTAATGTTAGCACAGAGAATTTATTTTAACCCTGTTTATCACTGCATGTTATTTTGTGGACAGGAAATAAAACGTTTACTTACCTCAGACTGTTATCTCTGTAATTATAGATAAAAAGTGTACTATTTTTCGCAAAGGTATATATCACCTGATCGCACGAAAAGACATGGCCTCCATGTAAGTATGCTCTAATTTCAGTTTTTAAAAAATTAAAATTGAAAAATATATTACAAATCTTTATAAACATTATAAATAAGGAATTCAAAAATGTCGATATACTATTTTTGACTCGATTCATTTTTACAGAAATAGCAGGACACAGGAACTCGTGTTTATGGGATTGTGTAGTCGTATCGGGATATCAAAACAGTTAGCCATGAGAAGGGATGTTCTAGATATGAGAGAATTGATAGAAAATCAGACTAAAAGGTATGACCCAAGAAAAACTCAGGTTATTTTGTACACAAGTGGTAGTCACAGGGAGGGATTTAGACTACAGGGATCTGACAGGGACTTTATATATTGGCTAAGTGACCACACCGTCATCTGGGGCCTTGATCAAGTTAAGAATTATTCTCCAGTCCAGGGGACTTTAATTCTTGCAGAGACAGATGACTGCCCACCGGGATTTTCTCTGCTGAAGATGGTCACTCCAACAAACTTTAATCAAGTTGCAAGTTCCTTCGTCAAAATCAAAGGAGATATTTTTATTTCAAGCTTTACTTTTCGAGATGTCTTCTGCTCAGCAGTGATGCCAAATTCTTCTGTGCACGGACCATGTGGAAGTGGGAAATTTGGACCGATTGAGTATGACTATGCTCACTGTTTTTCTTGTGACTTTTGGCCACCTTCTGCCTCATCCTGGATTGATAGATGTTCAATTTGGCCTCCTCCTGAAATTGTTCATGAAATTGCCCGAAAAGGATGCCATTTTGTGCCTATAGGACATAAACGTTCAAAGTTTGAAGAATTGCAATGGAGAATTTCTTTCTCTTTGGCAGAGCAAAAGCTTGTGTACACAATGAATCACTGTCAGTTTTTGACTTATGGCTTGTTAAAAATGTTCCTGAAAGAAGTAATAAACACCAATGAAGAAGAAAAGTTGCTTTGCTCTTATCACATGAAAACGGCCGTTTTCTGGGTAATACAACAAGGTACAATTGCCACATGGAGTCCACAGAACTTTCTACACTGTTTTTGGGCCTGCTTCAAAGCCATTCTAAAATGGGTTTACTTCGGAGTATGTCCAAGTTTCTTCATCCCCGAAAACAATTTGTTCACCAACATACATGGCTGTGCACAAACAAATCTATTCAGAAAACTGTATGGCCTTTTTGAGAAAGGAGTAGAATCACTTTTGGATTGTCCATCACTCAATTCCTTTCTGCAGAATGCCCTAAAGAATCGTGGGAAATCTCCCTGTACTGACGAGAGCACTATTATTTCTGAGGTCGATTTTGATATATTATTCTTCAAAGAAATATTTGAAATAGCATCATTGGGAAAATGTGACTTAAGGAAGTGTCTGAGGTACCTTTCCTCTGTAGAAGATCTCGTATCATCACATTTATCTGAGTATCACCTTCTCTGTCTAGAAAATATTCTGTCTGTCTCACTTCAGAATATACCTTTCTTATTCCACAACAAGTATAAAGACGGTAGCAATAAGATTTGGTACATCATTGACAGAATTTCTCATTACATGGTAAAACTGACATCAAGAATTGGGTTTATGTCTAACACTTTGTTAGAAGCAATGTACTGCTACAAAACGTTTAGATATAAAGAAGCCTTGGCTCTTCTGGATAAAGTAAAGGTCAAGTTATCATGTCCATACTTAATGTACTGTCTCTATGTGAATGACGAAAAGTATATCCATGCTCTCTTTGACCATACCCTGACAATGAAGATGAGAAAAGCCGTTACCTGGAACGTTAAGCTCTATAATTCTATAACTTATGTTGAAGAATTATCACTAGAACAGAAAGCAAGCAGGCAGGAAAATTTATCTACAATCAACGTCCCGCCTTTTGTTATGTTGTTATTTCTGAAATTTCTATGTGTCTGGCAAACTAAAGCAAGCAATTTCCAGAAAGTTTTAACTGAATTCCACATTCTACTTGAGAGTGATAACTCAATACACGTACCTTCATGTCTCAAAGACATATCCTGGCAAATGTTAGGAATTTGTTATGAAATGTCAGGAAACTTCAAAACTGCCCTGCATTGCTATTCAAAATCAATCCAGCAGCAACCTCTGAATAAAATTCAGGAAGCTTCGCTCAACAGAGCACGAAAGATCATTCCTCAGGTTGATGGGATCGAGGATACATGATCGAAAAAAAATGATATAAAAGTGGTTGAAATGACATAAATGACATAATGTAACTGATTTTAAATAAACATTTTAGATGGCATTATGTAACTGATAAATGATGTCAAACAATCTTTATCTCATATTTAAGAAGTTCTACAATCAAATGAAATTTTAAGGACACTGCCTTACAGTATTATTCCAGTCAAACTGAATGTGAGACTCCCAATTTCTACACCAACCACCAAGAAAGGTCAAACTACCGAAATCAGTCCAATAAAAGTCTGGGAACAAAGCTTGCGACATAGCACTAATAATATTTGGAGAACTAGTATATACTGATCCTGAAGCAAGAATGATTAACCACTGCGCCAAGACTAAAAATTGAAGAAATTCTGCAATCAAATGCATTTTTAAAGCTTCTGTCCTATGAAATAAAACCAAATCAAATCGTCACCAAAGATGAATGTCAAGTTTTTTAAGTTATATCCATATAAATTCAAAGACTTTTTTAAAACAACTTTTAAGTTTTTTATCACTCTTTGACAAAACAAAACATATACACATTGACGTGAGAACAGAAACTTTCTTCTATGTGTGTCACTGACTTAATGATGTACCAAAGCAACTACCATTATAAAGATTGAGTATGATAATTCCTACTCAATTTGTGTACTTAAAAATCTCCTCACACTTTGGAATGCTAGAATCATAATATACATGTACATGGTTTTACATTTATGTTATAATAAAAATAAAGTTAAACATTTTCATATCATAAACTTTAATCCGATCATTTGCTATTTAATTTTTTTTTCATTTAGATTTAACCCTGCTAGCAAAAGGAAATTTTAAAATATACCTTACTTATTTGAAAACATATATGTTTCCAACACAAGCATATCTGTACCACTGGAGCAGAAATGTACCAATCAATTTATTTGTACATATGTTATATAACTCTAATCAACTCTCTTATTTCCTTTCTGTGTTACACTTTGCCCCCGATCTTCATATGATACTGTGATCAATAAAAAATACATTGATTATTTTTTCATTAATTCAAATTTAAACTGAAAATTCATATTTTTAAATTAGATCTTAAACAGTGTTTAACTTCAGAAAATAAAATTAGGAATTGGATTTTTCTGATTATAAATTTTTGGAATTTTAAATATATTCCATATTCGCTGATAACTATGTACCTTTACCACGAATACGATATTTTTTCTGACCATATTTAAAACAAAAAGGCGTCTACAATATCGCCGCGTGCCAACAATTCAATATTTATTTAGCTTACAAAGATATTATATTTATATTCAAACCCTAATTTGTAAAAACAGTTTACATGTACATGTATATCTTCTCATATTGCATTTTAATTACTGTGTTTATAGTATATATATTGGAACATTTGATAAAAAAAATGATGTATTGCGAATACGGATTAAAAATATTCAAAACATACTCAAATATATGTAAGTATTTTTTTGTAATAGAATTTTTTGACTTTATTCATAACAATTTTCAAATAAGACAAAATCCCTGCTTGTATCTTTAAATAGGTTAAATATGTTTCAAGACAGTTCCTTCACTTTTATGCATAATGCTTGAAGTGTGTACCAATACAAACTCCCCAAGAATTCATCAGTAAATTTCCAAGTACACACTCCGTATGTCAAGGAATGGGATACAAAACAATGAACTGTTCTGGAACAGAAATTAAAGGAAAATTTACTATTTCGTATAAATTTTAGCTAAAATTTTTTAAAGCATCAATTAAGGCTTTAATGGTATAAAGATAAATAAATTTTCAATTCTACAAATTTTCCATAGCCAAAAAAAATTATATACTTTTGAAAAAACGCCAAATTTTACACCGCCCCCCCTTTTTTCCCCACACATGAAATGTTACACATTAAGACCACATTTACACAAAAAGAAAGAACTAATGCATTGCTGCGTGCTCACACAATTTTTTTTTTATATTATGAGAATCTAAATTTACAAAAAAATTTTAGTTTAAAAAAAGATTTTGACAATTTTGTTTTTGTAACGTCACAAATTAATCGGATTTCGTATGATTTTAAGAGGAAACAATGGACAAAATTTGCTTTTTTTACTACAAAATTTATAGAACACAGGCCTGCTCCAGAGCAATATTTACATATTTCATTGATATCATCATTTAACACATTGTATCAAAATATTAATAGCAGGAAAGACCTGATTTTATGATTTTTTTAAAAGTTTAGACTAAAATACACCTTTGTCTGCAGAAATCATGGAAACTTTAATTAAACACCATTTTCCTATCGTCATATTAAACATATGACGTCAAGGCTTATGAAAATAGTGGTTTGAAGTCTGAAGATATCAAAGAACTGTTTTAGAACATAATTATATATTTTTCCGTCAAAGTTTGATTTTTGGGGAAAATGATTCATTGACACTTTCATAAAGTCCTTTCATATCATTTTTGATAAATATAATAATATGATTCAAAAAGTTCTTATAAGTGTAAAATTTAAAATTTATTTAAATTTATCTTTTTATTACAACTTTCAAATCATGAGAAAGAATTTTGATAAATGAATATTTTTTTAAAGTTTAATACGTAATAGATTTCATAAATTTTTGACAGACATCATTGCTTTCCATGCGCGTTTGTCTAAACAACAAGAGAATCTTGGAAAGTATGCCGTTGTTGTATTTGGAGGCATAAAACTGAACACAGGAAATGCTTATGACGGGACGACGGGGAAATTCACAGCACCTGAGGATGGGATTTACTCATTCACGTGGACCATTCTCACAGCAGCTGGAAAATATTTTAACACTGAAATTGTTCAAAATGGAAATATTATTGGTTATAATCATGTGGAAGGCGCCAGGGGTAGTTCGATTTTATCTTCCGGATCTTCATCATCTATAATAAAAATGAAAAAGAATGATAAAGTCTGGATAAGAACATATGACGATGATGGAAAGTTTGCATATGAACACTGGTCATCGTTTTCCGGATTTAAATTGTAAAATAATAGATGTTTCAAATAAAGAGATTTCAAAAGTTGAATATATGTATCTTCTTCATAGTTTTCGTCATCTTTTGATCTATTTGTATACATGTATTTTACCAGAGAAGGACATAATGGCAAAGTAACTACTATCGTTTTAAAGAAAAGCTTTAATTCATAGAATAGAAGAAATAACGGCATCGTGAGTAGTGACCTTTAAAGTTCTGACTTGTACCATACAATATAGTGCAAAATATACAAATAACCAGCATTATTTTTAATTTAATCTTTACCATTGGCTTTTTTTCAAGGCTACCTATCAAGGAAGGACATTCTCTTTGTCGCTTAGAGATAAACCATTGAATGGTTTTAAAATTTCATATTTGTTTTTCTATTTTTTTTCAAAATAACAGTGTTGTTAACTCAGTGATATAATTTTTATCACCATTACTAGTATTTCAAGGTATATGAAAGGAAAAAAGAGCCTCATTGATGATTCTAATTCTCTCCAAAGGTCACTGTAAAGCATAATGTTAAATGCACTCATTATGTCAAACCATATGCTGTATATCGGCAGTAGGAACAAATTTAAAAGTAGGTCATTGTTCAAGGCTCCTAAGGTCGATCACCATGACATTATCAAAACCCATTCTGGTAAACAATGGTTTTGCAGATCATTTCATCAATACATAGGGTTCACGGACTATATGGAAAGACGATGCTTGCTCCCCCTAGACGCGTGATCATACCTCTATAAAATATTGGTGTTTTATACTTGTTCATAGATTAATATTGTTTGTAGTTTTTTTTTTCGAATTCGATATGTGTCGGTTATATTTGTCTTTCAAAATTATTACGGTTGTCAAATACACATTCTGATTGCACACACAGGTACTCTAAAGTTGACATCAAAGAGATGCGTGAGCATTGCTCTGCATTGACAATATCTATGTGGTTTTTGGAGACCAGTGTATCTCTGTACAATCATTGGCTGACATTCCTGCTGTTGGTTAAAAATTGCGTGTAAGTTATAATAGCAAACATTTCTTAATTCTAAAAAGCATGATTTGTAAAATCTTATTCGTAAAAAGAAATTACACTTTGTGTATCAACAGGTTTGAGATATATCAACGAAGTATAGTCAATTAAAAATGGTACAGTTTCCAAAATTCCTACGTCAGAAAACATCATATATCCTTCATGCGCTTGAACATTCAAAAGATACCACATTTGTCTTTGACACAATTTTTCATTAATTGGATATTTTACTTAAAAATTTGACGTTAAACGAATCTAACAACCAAGCTCTATTATGAAACTTGTCTATCTTCAACTTCCCTTACTTTGCAGCAATATACCATCATCACCTGATTGGACACAAATATATATCTCAGTTGATTCGAAACGCAAGAATATGCTCTAATGATACGTTTTGCAACAAAAATTTACTAAAACGATAAATTATTGACAAACAATCTGTTGATAAAACAGGAACAAATCAGTTTAGATTCGTTTAAAGTAATCATTTCGTAAGTATCTATGGTCGATACAACAATTTGTCAGCAAATACAATTTAATTATCATTAAGTCAACAATGCTGATCTTACGTTTTTCATATTAATTGTAAGTCCATTATTTATACACCGAATTGACGACGGAAATATTTTCCGTTATTACCTGAAAAGGAGTGTGTGATCTGGTCATCTCGTTTGCCATACACGTTTATCCTCCAAGGCACACAATATCCCACCTCTGATGTTTCGGAGGTCCGTGTTTGCTCTGCTTCTATTTTGTATTGTTTTATGGACTTTCATATTGAATACTGTTCGTTATCTCCATATCCTTCATCTATTTATTAGAACATTCCAAATCTTAAATATCAACATATGTATGTACATTCTTTGGATCAATTTTATTCAAAACATTGACTCGTGCGCGCAATGGGAATTTGAAAGTATATTATATATATTTGTTAACATATTTTTGAATTACATGTAATGCACACTGGAGCAGAAATGTATAAATCAATCTGTACATTGCAATTGACTATCATTACTCAGGTCGGTTCTCCTATCATCTCCATGCTGTCCAGCAACGTGTAGCATCGTTTTTGAAAGTGGGTGGGGGCAGCCAGAGAAAATTTCTGTTTTACTTACATGAAAAAAATTGAGAAGCAAAAAAAAAATTCCTAAAATCGAAAATCCTATATCGGGGGAAGGGGGGTGGGTTGAAGCCAACGTTTTTTAATGCTAACTTATTTCAGCACCAATTTTGTTTAAACCTACAATACTTTATTTTCCTTATATCACAAACAGTTGGGGGGGCAATCAGCCTTTCAATGAACATTTCCTTTAGTATAAGTAATGTTGGGGGGGGGGGGAAAGTGGGGGATGTGTGTTACACTTTACCCCGTTCTTTAAATACCATTGTCAAAGCCAGCGTGGCGCAGTGGTTAGAGGGTCTGCTTAATAGTCGTATAGTAAGGAGCTGATCTTTATGTCGCGGGTTTGAATACCAATGCGTCTCGTGGGAACTAGTTCCTCGGATGAGACCTTATAAACCGAGGTTCCATGGCACAGTAGGTGTTGTTCACGGTAAGGATCCTAACTCCTCAATTGTCATGTGAGTGCCAAGTATAGGTAGAAATTTGCCCCCAGAAATTTATTTTTACAGTAGTTGTGCGGTATAAAGCTAAAACTTTTATAGTTTATAAATATACTATTGTTTAACAGATAGAAAGTATCACTTGAAAACAAATATTTAAAAAATATAAAAATTTATCGAGAAAGAAATATATTTTAACAAATTGCATATTTAATAATTATACACCTGCCTAATTCTTTATTTTTAATGAAATGAATGTTGTTTGAAAGGCTCCTATTGAAAGCATGACATGTATAAAGACAAAAGGACACTATAAAATCCGCCATAAAATCGGCCATTTGAAATGTGCTTTCGGTTTCAAATCTTAACATTTGGACAGAATACAGGGAAAACATACAATTATAATATTTCAAATATCAACTTGTCATTATTTTAAACACATGGTTTTTGAGCTATTGTAAAAATAAATTTTTGGACATGTTGACCCTTGATGAAACCTTAAATGTTCTTTTAAAATCACTATATTTCAGGGGCTGTCAAATAAAAAGTCTATTCCATAGCCATAAATTCCTCAAGAAATTTCAGCTGTCAATTCTTGGATCCTTCCCTACAAAATGTGTTCATGTAAATATATACATTCTTCTATTTTATCATTTCACTAGCAGATTTTGTTGTTGCTTTATCATGCCTACTTCCTTTTGGGAGATAATACAGCATGTCTTGTCAGATCAGACTTTTAAATCACACTTCTTTGAATGACAATTCAAAATTGTGACAATTCATGACAGGATCATGAAAACATATTTAATGATTTTTAAAATCTAAATCTGCATGCGTAAATTACAAATTTGCAGCGCCTAAAAGATGTTATTGTTTACTTTCTAAAATCGGATAAGCGAGGAAGGAAGCTAATAGGAAGTGAAACAAAATCAGTTTTCAGAAATTGCTGAATGAGGAAGATAACAAAGGTGAAAAAATTAGATAAAACCATTGTTGAAAATGACCAATATAACTTGTGAGTGGTAAAAATGTGTTATTTAGAAAAAATATTTTTAGAAGTAAACGTTAATGTTTACTTGGTCTATAAAAGAAGGACATTTAGTTTTCCATTGACTCCGCCATCATTATATCATGTAAGTATTACTATTTAGTGTACAACAATAATCTTAAGGTCAAAAATAAACCATTTTATTTTCTCAATCTGTCTGTTTATGTACTTGTAATTATTCTTTTGCATTCTTTAAAAAAAGTTTACAGGGAAACTTTTATTTATCTAAGACATTTTCTTATGATTAACGTTGTTTTACAGAAAAGAGAACTTGCTTAAGAAATGGACCCCTACACCAGTGCCCAAGACGTTGTGCGATGCGATCTTTGTGAAGAGAATGTCGCTGAAATGTGAAGATTGTAATAACCCAGTGTGTCAAAAATGTATTACTTCTGAACAACATAAGAGGCATCATTTCACAAGTTTACAAGAGTTAGTTAAAATAAAGAAAAAATTTTCAATCAGATTTTAATAAGGTTGTGTTAGACAGACGTTTCAGGATTTGAAGAAATGGTTTCCGAATTAAAATCACAGTTAGCTGGAATAGATGAAATATATGGAAAACTCGCATCAGACATAACAAAACATGGAGAGGAATGGCATAGGGAAATAGACACTGTAATCAAAAATACTCAGGATGAAATTCAGATTATGAAAAATCAACATAGAGATACTCTAAATAAACATTTGACTGACATTTGGAAATTGATTACGGATGTCAAAAAATCTCTCTGAAATGAAAGATACCCCGGTATTCGAAAATCGAATGAAGTTTTAAAGACACTGTCTTACGAGATCATACCAGAGGAATCTATCAAATTGCCACCCAAGCTGAATGTGAAACAACACAAAAACTCAATTACAATTTTCACAGGTATTTGGCTCTTTATCACTTCTATCTATCACAACAGAAGAACATGGCTTCACAATGAAGGAATCCGAAGCTGTATCCCCTCACTTGTACTCTCATACAGTCAAACCATTGCTTGATGAACCAAAGATAATATCAACAATTAAAACCGAGTATAATGAACTACACCATGTCACCTGTTTTCTTGATGATCAACTTTATACAGGAGGGAATGGAACAAGCATGAGACTGTACAACCTCAAAGGCAAACTTCTGAAATCAATCCAAACAAAATCTGGGAATAAACCTTGCGACATAGCACTAATGAAGAACGGACATCTAGTTTATACAGATCCTTTGGCTAGAACGATTAACATAGTCAAGACTAAAAAGATACAAGAAATGATCCGATTACAAGGATGGGAACCTTACTATGTCTGCAGTACCTCCTCTGGTGACCTTTTGGTCACCATGCTTAGTATAGATACAGAGCAATCAAAAGTTGTCCGTTATTCTGATTTCTCAGAAAAACAAAGTATTCACTCTGATGACAAAGGCAGACCGCTGTACTCATATACTGACATTAAATACATATGTGAGAACAGGAACCTAGACATTTGCGTGTCTGACTTTAGGGCTCAAGCTGTAGTGGTCGTCAACCAGGAGGGGAAATTCCGATTTAGGTACACTTGTCCTCCCTCAACTAACAAAGAAACATTCAATCCAACAGGTATCACTACAAACAGTCAATCTCAGATCTTGATAGCAGACAGTAACAACAATTGTATCCACATCGTAGACAAGGATGGTCAGTTCCTCCGTCATATTGATAACTGTGATCTAATCCTTCCCTGGGGTTTATGTGTGGACACGAATGACGAACTTTTTGTGGCTGAATTAAGAGGATGTGTGAAGAAAATTAAATATATATAGTAAGAAATGCATTGAATCAATCATGTTAAAGGTACTAAATGAGCGCATTTTTGAAACTTCATATGTAGCACCACAATGATGAATAAATTATATAATGCTTCTCTTAACGGTTACAGGGAAATTTTAAAATAGAAATTTAAAGGGTTCATTCTAACGATTATATTTTTGTGTGAATATGATATGTTTATTTCATCCGGTTTCAGAATAAATTCATAAGCTAAGTAGAAACGGAAACAACATCCTGCCGATTATTAAGCACCAGGAAAAGCCAGCGGTGTTTTATGGCTGGAGAATATATCTGCAGAATTTTTTTCAAACTTAGAAAAGGTTTAACTAGATACCATCATTTCCAATTTCATGCTGACTACCCTGGATGGATTGGGGTGAAGAAGAGAAATTCACGTAATCCTATTCCTGTGAATCTGCTGAAAAGAAATTTACAATTCTCAGAGGAGCAGCGCCCTGAGGTTATCACAGAGAGGGGACTTGATATTATAGACAGTGGTTTTTGTATGAAGGTATCAGAGAATTCTGCTCTTTGGGTGCTGCAAAAGATGCCTTTTGTCAATGCCTGTGCAACTGTGTGATTTTCAAATATCATTGCCTTATTTACCATATACCACTCAGTGAACTAATAGTGATACAAAATCAGTTCTTAAATTTGTTCTTACATCGTTGTCCAAATTGTGTTAATAGTACATTCTTAATACATATATAACATACATTGTTTGTTATTTGTTTTGTATATTTATTATTCTCTCTGATTATACACTTGTTAATTTCTCTTGAAAATATTAAGTATTCAGGTTCAGATATTCATACTATGTCAAACCTTTAGCATCCATTTCCAATTCATGAAATCATAACAATACACTAGGTAATCTTCTCTCTAAGTGAAAAAGTCTTTTTTCAGCTTGATTTTCTTTTACCATGGCAACATACATTTTAGTAAGCTTATTCAGAAATTATCATCATCATAAAGCATCATATATTTTTTATTTTCATTGTTCCTAGCCCCCTTAAAATGTGTCTTGGAGGGTACCTTGTGTCCAGTACTCTTCAAGAAATTTTTCAAAAAGCGTCAGCTAAACTCTCATAATAAAATAAGTGAAAAAATTGACTTGTTTAAATTGTCATCATTTTCTTCAGGGTTGGAATAGTTAAAAAAATATTTTGGATTCTTGTTCTTGACCTTCATACAGATCAAATGTAAATTTTCCTCATCTGGTTTTATTTTGCCAGTAACTGTCACATATTGCATCCTATGTGCAATGTTGAAAAAATGTTATATAAATAATAAAGGCGTTAAGGTGCATTCTTTAAAACTACATACGATAAAGATCGCTCGCTGATATGGTATCAAGGGCCATTCGATATGTATGTCAAAAATTAGTAGCCTTTTATCTAAAGCAGGTGACATCTCAATATTAAACGTTTTCGAATTGGACATTAACCAACATAAAATAAATCAATCATTTTATCATGAGTGTCTAATTAAAACATGTACAAGAGATATAAATTCTCTCGTTCCAACTTCAGTGATACTCAGAACCCTTCTAAAACCCTTGCTCTGGAAACTAAAAGCGAATTTAGCAAAGTCAGAAACTTATTTGAAAATTCCTAATCGTTTACCAATATTATAAGGGCACAGTGTGAGTTACATTTGAAGAATAGAGTCTGTGTAATTACACACTTTCTACTGGAAATATATCTAAATACTTACTGTTAATGAATCTACCGTAAAGACAATGTATTATCTTATAAGGAAGTTTGTGTTATTCGAGAAAGGTACAAGTACTTGACACAATTCACATTTATGCATTTTTGAATAACGAGCCGTTAGCCTTTTGTCACGGTCATCTGTCTTCTATACAACACATCAGACGGGTTCGCAAAAAATCTTTTCTAATATGAACTATCATTACTTGAAATATTAAATGTATTTTAAATTTGATTTCATTTTTATCATTTAGGTCCGTATGTATTTCAAATACAAATCTCAATAATAACCATATAATATTCGATTGCTTGCACATTTTTAAAAATCAATTTTTTTAACACCATCTAATTTAGCTGCAGATCAGTAGCGTTATAATTTTATATATTTGTCTTTGACCATAACGCTACAGATCCCGTAATGCAAAAAAGGTGCAATTTACGGTGCAATATTTTTTGCGCACTTTTGGGGAGAATTTCGCTACTTTCCATCGGTTAATTAACTTCCTTCCATCCCCTAATTCTATGCACATTATTTAACTACCCTGTATATATTATCCATCTACCTACCCTTTATAGTCGTCTCTACAAGTGATAAACTCGCTTGATTAAAATTATATGTTAGATTGCTGAAAATTCACTTCAAACGAGTTTATTGCTTGTAGATACAACTATAAATGTTTGAGAGGTGGATAAAATATGAATATTTGCTACAGAAGGTGTCTCAAAGACATATCCTGGCAAATTTTAGGAATTTGTTATGAAATGTCAGGAAACTTCAAAACCGCCCTGCATTGATATTCAAAAGCAATCCAGCAGCAACTTCTGAATAAAATTCAGGAAGCTTCGCTTAACAGAGCACGAATGATCATTCCTCAGATCGATGGTGTCCATGATATTTTGATAGGAGAAAAACTGATATGAAAATTATTCATAAACCGTGCGCTGTCTAGAAAAGTTATAGTATTTCATAAATAAACAGGCTTGATAGACATTAATTATTAATTTTACACATAATAGACTTTTTGTGTATATGGCACGCCGAATTCACAAAAATGAGCTTAACATATATATTTCACAGTTGATAAACTAGGTTTATCGACTGTAAACTATAGTTTACAATCCGTTAACTATATTTAACGGTTGTTAACTATAGTTTTCGAATACTTATCTAATATAAGTTTATCTGTCTGTAATAAAACGTTAACAATAGATTTTGTTGATAAACATTGATTCACGTCTATAAACTATAATTTACAATCGTTCACTATAGTTAAGAGTTGTCAGTCATAGTTTCACAAAACTATAATTTACAATCGTTAACTATAGTTTAGAGTTGTTAATCATAGTTTCACAAATCGTACAACTATATTTACTAGATCGTTAACTATAGTTAAGAGTTGTTATTAACCATAGTTTTCAAATCGTGAAACTGTATTTATCAGATAATCTGTTTTGCAATCGCAAATGATCGTGTTCAGTGTTAATTATAGTTTACTGTTCTGAAACATACGGTAGATTATCGCGTTAACTATTGTTTACAGATGTAAAATATAGATTAACGTTGTTATAAAATATAGTTTACAGTCCGTAAACTATAGTTTACAACCGATAAACCTAGTTTATCAGCTGTGAAATATTTTGTTTTCTTTTTCTTTCTCATTTGAGAAAGACCAAGAGAAAGATGGGTATGGAGTTAGGGAGTTCAAAACAATATCTGTTAAGTTTTTAAGCAGGGAAATGTATAATCAGCACATGATTTGTTTAAGTAGGCATACTCACATTTGTGTTTTGTTGACACACTATGCCATCTTGTTGATAAAAAGTAAACTAGTGTCATAGATAATGTTTTGTATTATGTTGAATCATTGTCAAACAGATGTATACATCTTATTGCGTATATTTATTTCACTTTTAAACTACTGACGGATTAAGAAGGGGGTGTGGAGGCATACATCATCTTAAAGTTTTCAATCTTTAAGTTGCACGTTTTTGAATACACAGAAAAATATAACACGATGTTGAAATGTGGATAAACAATTAATATTGTAATACAGAACCACTCTCCGAAAAGCAGTATTACGTGGATTATACTTGTATCTCTTTAATTAAATCAAGATAATGGGAGAAATTATTTTCTTAATTATTCAGACCTACTTTCAGTGTCTTTATGTAAAAGAATTCTAATATTTTAATATAATTTAAAAACAACGAAAAATTATCTATGTCTTTATTTTTTCTGGTGATAATGACTCAGAAATCATCAATGTCTTATTTTTCAATTGATAATTTAAAAAAAGAAAATACTCACCTTGAAAAAAAAGTTTTTGTAAACATTTCTGCCAGCAGTCTTTGTTCTTTCTCAAAGTTTTGGTTGAAACGAGAAATTATATTTCCATGCCATTATCACAAATTGTGAAAATTGGGGGCTCGTCCGGGATGGAAATGTATTGATTGACTATATCCTTTCGCAGATTAAACTGAACTTTGAAAATGAAAAAAGAGAAATTAGTGGAGGAGATTGGGCAAAAGTTAGGTCTGCAAGGGGATCAGCTTTTGAACATTGGAATATGTAAGGAAAAAGTTGCGTGAGTACGATATACAACAATCTTCGGATGTTTGCACATAAAAAAAAAACATTTGTCGGATTTTGTTTTTGAGCATGATAATTAACTTGGCTGGACGTATTCTTTGTCCTTATTTCAAAGCTTTGATTACTGCGAGAGAATATATTTCTATGCCATAATCACAATTTTGAAAGCGACTTGAAAAGAAAGGGTATGTTAAAAGGACAACATTTAGAAATGTATTTTTGATTAATCTGAAAAGATTTATAAAAGAATTGTAACTTATAACCGACCCTCAATATTGCATGGAGAGTCATCCAAAGGTATTTGTATTTATAATTAGTAGATAATTATGTTTTATTGATATTCTTTTGCATTTCTTGTAAATGTTTTATAGAAACATTTTAATTTTCAAACACATGCATTATATGATACACATTGTTTTACAAAAAAAAATAAAAAAAAAAAATTAAAACTTAAACCCCAATCCGTGCACATGACGTTCTCCCATGCGATTTCTGTGAAGAGAAATGTTACTACATGCAAGATTTTTTGTAGTTTGTCCCCAAGAAATCTGTGTAAAGTTTGTGTTGGAGAGCAAGTTTCTCATATCTCTAAGAGACACGAAGCAGTAATATCAATATTGAAAAAAATTCACGTTTGTGTTACCCCAGTGATAATTTCATTGTTAAGAAAACTGTGAAGTATCATGTAAGACTGTAACATTCAAGTTTGTCAAAAATGTGTTACTTCTGATAATCATGAGATACATCATTTCATAAGTTTACAAGAATTAGTTAAATCAAAGAAAATAGGTATTCAAAATAAGGATATAAGGTTGAGAGAAGGTCTACGATGTAAAATTACAGCTAGCTAAAATAGATGGAACAGTGTATACAGGATTATTTTCGCCCCGTGTTATTTTCGCCTTTTAACACTTACAAAGAATTTTGCGCCGTTTGAATTCACCCATTCATAGTTGTATATGAGAAATCATTCTGTGTTCTTTTAATTCAGCCCGTTTTAAATTCACCAAACTCAACGTAGGGCGAAAGGGGATAAAATAAAACGGGGGCGAAAATTTCCCTGTATACAGTATATGGAAAACGCACATCAGATGTAACATAACATGAAGTAGAATGGTATAGGGAAACGGACATCGTTATCAAAAATACTAGTACTCAAGATGGAATTCAGGAGATGAGAAACAAACATAGATATTCTCAATAAACATTTAAATGACATTATGTAACTGATTTTCAACAAACATTTTAAATGGCATTATGCAACTGATAAGTACTGTCAAATAATCTTTATCTGATATTGAAGAAGTTCTACAATCAAATGAAGTTTTAAAGATACTGTTTTACAGGCTCATACAAGTCAAGATGAATGTGAAACTTTCATTTTTTCACCATCAAAAAAGGTCAAACTACTAAGATCAGTCCAAACAAAGTCTGGGAGCAAACCTTGCGACATAGCACTAATAATATGTGGAGAACAAGTATACACTGGTCATGCGGCTAGAATGATTTACCTATTCAAGACTAAAAATGTAGAGGAAACAATCCAATTACAAGTATGGGAATCTTCCTATGTCTGCATCTCCTCCACTATTTATCTATTGGTATCCAAGATTTAGTACAGATACAGAACTATCAAAAGTTGTCCATTATTCTGATTTCTCAGAAAAACTGATGACAAAGGCAGACCGCTGTACTCATATACTGACATTAAATACATATGTGAGAACAGGAACCTGGACATTTGTGTGTCTGACTTTGGGGCTCAAGCTGAGTAATAATCAACCAGGAGGGGAAACTCCGATTTAGGTACACTTGTGATCCCTCAACCAACAAAGAAACATGCAATCCAACGGGTATTACTACAAACAGTGAGCTCAAATCTTGATAGCAGACAGTAACAGTATTTGTATCCACATCCTACACCATGATGGTCAGATCATCATTTATATTGATAACTGTGATATTATCCTTCTATGTTTATATGTGGACATAAGTGACAACCTTTCTATTGATGTATTAGAAGGATATGTAAAGAAAATCAAATATAAGTTGTACAAAACACATTCAGTCAATCACGTTCATGATACTAAATTAGTACATAATATTTAATTACTTTACATGTGGTATCAATACGAGGAATTAATTATACAATGCTTCTCTTAACTATTAAAGGCAAATCATGAAATATATATTCAATGGTTCATTCTAAAGATTATATTCCTTGTTTTGATATGTTTCCTCTTATTTGCAAAAATTTAAATGATCAACATAACAATAATAATGAAAATAAAGTTCACCATTATTATATGATAAACTGCGATCGTTTACATACCTTTTAGAATAAATTTTATTAAATAATAAATAACAGGTAACTGTGCTAGCAATGGGATTTTAAACTATACCTTCTTATTTAAGAACGCGTGTTTTCAGCACAGGTATTGCTGTACCAATGGAGCAAAAATGTATCAATCGATTTGTACATATGTAAATAACTCTTATGAATTCTCTTATTTCATATATGTGATACACATTGCCCCGATCTTAATATTCTGTAGGCAATAAAAAATGCATTTGTTATCTATTTTTAATTTAAATTTATATTGAAAATTTATATTTCCCAAATAGATTTCTGACTTCAAGCATTAACTTCAAAAAAGGAAGTAGGAATTTCAGTAATATTTCATATTCCAATAAATTGATTGCCTAGAACTATGTATTCTACCACAAATACAATATTTTATCTGATCATATCTAGGACAAAAAAAAAAGGATCTGGCGTGCTAACAAAATACACGTATTTATTTTGCTTATGAAGATTTTATATCTATATTCAAACCCTAATTTGCAAAATAATATTTTACATGTACATGTGTACCTTCTCATATTACATTCTAATTACTGTGTTTTTAGCATATATTGTGGAACATTTGATGAAAAAGACTGTACTGTGAAAAAGGATTTATTTGATATTCAAATCAAACCGAAAAATATGTAAGTATTTTCTAATTTTTTTTTTACTTTATAGATAACAGTTTTCAAATAAGACAATATCATATATGCTTGTGTCTTTAAATAGGTTAAATATGATCTCCAGGCTAACAACACGAATTATTTACTAATAATGGGTCCGACTGTGAAACTGTAAGGGGAACGCAATTTCTTTTGAGTAAGGCCCAATTCTTACAATTGATGGACCCGCCATTTGCACTTGCAAATTAAATTTCAAATGACATGAACATATTTTCCTGTATTTTTGTATTTATTGCGTCGTATAAAGCCGTTTTTTTTTCCACAAAATAAAGCGAAAAACTTTTATCGTTAAAATTTCCTTAAATTGAGATTTAGAACTTTAGATTTAGAATTTTAGAAGTGACAATGCCGAGAAAATCATTTCTGGACAAAAACTGACGTCATATAAAAAGTCATGATTATTGAATGGGAAGACGCTGTGTTATGGTCTATGAATATGAATGAGAAATTAAATGTTTAGGGGGAGTATTTTGAATGAATTTTTGCGCCCATCAAAAAAATCCCCTAGATATCGTTGGCACCCCAAAGGAGGTATCTACGAAGGGCGGAATTATTGCCTCAAAAACATGTTGTTATTTTTAAAAATAAATGTCCAGTATGTTGACATATCCCACTGTATACTATTTTAGTATACAGTGAGATATGTCAATTTTAAAGCGTACATAAAATCAAATTTCCGTGACATTCAGGCGTACATGAAGCAGAAAGGTTTACACAAAACTAAAAATTCACACTGTGCTTTGAAAAAAAAATGTTACGAGAATAGTTCGAATTTCCTCGACAATACATTATATAGAAAATATACAGTATCCTTGACCCAAGCACCAATGATTTTTGCAACATTTATTCTCGTACTAACAACCGAAGAAAGCATTTTATTAATGTTAAATATATAATTTTCTACTGCAAATTAATCTGAAAATTCATCTGCCGTAAAGATAGTGTTTTCTTATGAAAAATATTGTGATATTTAAAAAATGTACATGTTCATATACTTTACATATGCTATTTCGAATGAAGACTTATGAGTCTTCTGCCACGCACTGCTGCCCAATAACAGTCTATTTATGTACAGTACATCAGAAAAGCCCAATGAATAAATTTTTCATTAAAAATGAGCAAACAATTTCGATAACTTTTGACTCTTAAATGTATTGGATTTACATTGAATTTCCCTTTCACCATTTACGTCAGATATAGTTAAAAAAGGTTAACAACACACCGTATACCTCGAAAATAAATCTAAACACTACTGTATGAAAAATCTTGATTGTATGCACAATGTCTGTATCAATTTTCTTAATAACATTGAATGGTGCTTGCAGTGGGAGTTTAAAAGTATATCATATTGATTGAAAACATATGTTCCCAGCACACGCTATGTTGTGCAACTGGGGCAGTACATAACTGACATAATTTAGATCGGTTTTCTAATTCCTTTGCTCTTTTCATACCCGTAGGAAGCAATATCTGTTTGAGAGGATGGAGGGGGGGGGGCAAAACCAAACATTTTCCGGTTCCTATGGCCATCGTTTTTTTTTATTTAGCCCCGTCAATAAATGTGTAATCATAAATAAATTTAGATTCATCAGAAAGATTCATTTTTCCGCATAGATTAAAACTCTTAGATCTCACTTCAGATAAAAAGATGTGAATAGTAATTGTGTGGCATGCGTAGATATGCAATAATCCAAGGAATTGTTAGATTCTCAGATGAGACAAAGTCATGTATTTTATTAAGATCAAAAACTTAAGTGATCAAAGTTGAAACAAAGAGACGTTCTAAAGCATTGTCGTGTGCTGCCAAAATATTCAGTTATCTTCTGAGGACGTTAACTTTATAATCGAACCCTTAATGTGCAAAGAAATGTTACCATATCAGTCTGCTCATATTACATTCTAATTACTTTATTAAAGGTATAAAATGAGGAAAATTTGCTGATAGAATGTACTGTGAATAACGATATAAAATTTTAAATCATATTCCAAATATGTACATGTAAGTATTTTCTAGAATTTTTAGACTTTTTCGAAGTACCAATTAATATCATGAATGATTTTCAAATAAGAAAATATTTTATGCATATATCTTTAAATAGGTTAAATATGCTGAAGACGACGTTCCTCCTTTTATGCATATTGCTTGAAGTGTGTACCAAAGAAACTCCCCAAGACTTCATCAGTAAATTCAACAAGTACAACTCTGTATGTCAAGGAATGGGATATAAAACAATGAACTGTTCTGAAAAAGAGAAAAGTACGCAGTTATTTAATTTAGCTAATATTTTTCTCGATAGTTAACCTAAAAAATGTAAATATATTTAATATTCACTTAGCTTTTTTAGTTAATGCTAGAGATTGCATATCAGGCATTTATTCATAGAATATAACCGATATGATTCAAAAAGTGTACTCTCTATTTTTAAAATATATTTCTATATATCTATTAATATTTTTACTACCAAATCTTTTGATTTTGAGAGGAAACTTAGATAAATGTATATGTAATTATTTATTGATAATTTTATTACGTAATAGATTTCATTATTTTATTTTTCGACAGACATCATTGCTTTTCATACGCTTTTGTCTAAACGTCAAGAGAATCTTGGAAAGAGTACCGTTGTTGTATTTGGGAACGTATTACTGAACACCGGAAATGCTTATGACGGTACGACTGGGAAATTCACAGCACCTGAGGATGGTATCTACTCATTCACGTGGACTATTCTTACTCAGCCTGGAAAATATTTTCACACCGAAATGGTTCTCAACGGTCACATAATTAGTTATAATTATGTAAATGGAGTATCGGGCAATTCTCACTATTCTTCCGGATCATCCTCAGCTATAATTAAAATGAAGAAGAATGATAAAATCTGGATTAGAACGTATGGAGATGGAAAGTTTGCGTATGAAAACTGGTCATCCTTTTCCGGATTTAAATTGTAAATTAATGTTTCAAATAAAAATATTTTAACAATTGAATACAAATATCTTCTTTATAGTCTTTGTCATCTTTTGACCTATTTGGATACATGAATTTCACTAGAGAAGGACATTAATGACAAACTAACTACTATTGCTTGCAAGAAATGCTTTCATTTATAAAATAGAAGTGATACCGGTTGTACGACTCGTACTTTACGTACATGTATACACAATTGTACCAATGCATATTCAGCAAATTCATTCCACCGGAACGAAAGATTCTATGATATATAATTTTTGTCCAGTCTGTCTGTCTGTTTGCTTGTGTTGTCAAATTTAACCACAGGGGCCGATAACATACTTTATCTGATTTATTATAATCACAACATGTGTACATATACAATCTCTTTTTTTTAATATAGATAGTGATTAGGTAAAATCAAATATAGTATTTTACCGGCCCCTGTGACTTTAACCTAACCAATAACTATTAAGTGGGTGGGCATTTGGCTTTCATATTTCACAGGTGGATTCCTTGAAATATGATCTTTCTTTGGGTACATCAAATTCGACCTCTTTACTTTGAAGTTTGACCTACTTTTACAAAAAAATACCATGCCTTAACCTTTAACATTGGTCATAACTTTTAAGCACTTGGAGCTAGGGCTTTCATATGAGTATTCAATGTGACAAGAACTCTCAGCTGGTATTAAAAGTTATGACCTTGACCTGAGAGTTTGACCCACTTTTAAAGATTTTAGTCTTGGTTATAACTTTTGAACAGTTAGAACCAGGGTTTTTTTTTTATTTCAAAGGATTATTCCTTGTAAAAGACCTTTTTTGGTTACCAATACTTTTGACCTTGACCTTTGGAATTTGACATGCATTTGAGAGAATTCAACCTTTGCCAAAAGCGGCAACAGTGTTTCACAAACACATCTTTTTTTAAATTTGATCTTGACCTCATTTGACTTTTTTCAAGACTACCTAAAAAGAGAGGATATTCCCTTTACTGCTTGGAGATAAACTACTTTTTTTAATTATAAAAGTTATTATTTTTCCTAATTAAAAACTGTGCTGTTAGTATTTGTTCTCGTACTTGTTCGCGCTAGTTATTTAAAAAATATGATGCATATATCAGCACTAGGTACAAATTTGAATTTAAGTCAAAGGTCAAGTTCAAGGCTCCTGGCCCCGGGATCATGAAGCATCTTAAGCTTAAGTCAAAAAATGCCTTAGATGCTGAATTTAGAGGTTAAGCAGCCCAAAATGAAAATGCTTTCCGATTTATCATCAGTCTGTTTTGTATGCAAATTATGAGTTTCCTTTAAAACAAGTTTTAAAGATTTTATAGATAATTGAAATTTCGAATCAAGTCTAAGTCTGGTTCATGATCCCGGGGCCTGGAATCGATCATCATATAATAATATAAGCGCTTAAATGTATTAAAGATAATAAAACAAGACCACAAAATTAATCCCCGAACAAACTGTCAAGACATCCTCTGATGTCATCTTTGTTAAGATAACTTGGCACAAATGTACTGTAGCTTGTGCCCAGTAAATCTAAACATTGTGTAGGAGAACACATTTTTGATGTGATGCCCCTGAATTTTAGGAAATCCAATCTTGTGTATCCTCAATGTAAAATCTATCTTAAACGCATTGTGGAATACGCTCTAAAGACTATAACATTCCAGTATGTCTAAAATGTGTTGCGTCAAAAAGATATGAGAAGCAATTTTGCATTTAGAAGACTTAGAAAACTCTAAAAAAAAAAAAAAGTAGGAAAGGGAAACAATACGATTAAAAGACACAGTTATCCCAAGCTGTGAAGAAACTGATTTCTGATATAAAATTCCTGTCAGTGAGCATAAATGACAAATACCGAAAGCTTAAATTAGATGTTGCAAATCATGGAGAAGAATGGTTCATAGAAATTGACATTTCTGTCACGAAAACAAAAAAAAAAAAGAAAGAAATTTGGAAATGACAGACAAACACAGAAGAATTTCATTGAAACATTCGAATATTAATGAGGTATTGATTTCTCATGGAAAACAATCTTTTTCTGAAATTAAGGAAGTTCTACAGTCAAACGTAGTTTTAAAGCCTCTGTCCTATCAAATATAGCCAGAGGTATTGATTTCTCATGGAAAACAATCTTTTTCTGAAATTAAGGAAGTTCTACAGTCAAACGTAATTTTAAAGCCTCTGTCCTATCAAATATAATTCATAAATTATAAAATATAAATTCATAATTGAAGATAAATGTCGAGTTTTCAAAATTTACCCTCCTAAAAATTCAAAGAGAATTTTACAGCTTTTTGGTTGTTTATTTGTTATCCATCAGAAAATAACTGTGACTACACATTGACAAAGACACCCGAAACTGTCTCTCCCCTTCAGGCAAACCACTGCTTGATGTACAATATACCAAAGCAACTACAATAACTGAGTATGATCATTCATACTATTACACTTGTGTTTCCTCACACTCTGGAATGTTAGAATCATAATATAAATGTATATATGTAATAATAAAAATAAAGTTAATCATTATTATATCATAAACTTTAATCCGATCTTTTGCAATTTAAAAATAACTTTTAAAATTTAGCCGTGCTAAGGGAATTTTGAAATATACCTTCTATATTTGAGAACATATGTTTTCAGCACAAGTATTGGTGTAACACTGGAGTAAAAAAAATATCAATCGATTTATTTGTACATACGTAATAATTCTAATAAATTCTCTTACTAGTATTTCCTTTCTATGTTACACTCCTACGATCTTCATCTGATGCTGTGATCAGTAAAAAATGCATTAATTATCTATTAATTAATTTAAATTTATACTGAAAATTCATATTTTCGAACTTGATTCCTGAATTAAAGCATTAATTTAAGAAAAAAATAGGAATTGGAAATTGACTAATTTTCAAAATTCCATGCAACTGATCGCTGATAATGTAACTATGTATTTTACTACGAACACTATATTTCATCTGGTGATATCTTAAAAAAAAAAGGGGGGGTCTTGAATATCGCTAACAAAATATTTAGTTTGGTTATGAAGAAATTATATCGATATTCAAACCCTAATTGGCAGAAAACAAGTTTACACACATGAACATGTATATCTTCTCATATAACATTTTAATTACTGTGTTTATAGTATATATAGTGGGAAGTTTAATGAAAAAGACTGACAGTGAAAAAGGATTTTAAAAAAATATTTAAATCATAAGTATTTTCTAGAATTTTTAGACAGTATCATTAACAGTTTTCTAACAGGACAAAATCCCATGCTTTTGTCTCCAAATAGGATACATATGCTAAAGGCAACTTTCCTCCTTTTATGCGTTTCGCTTGAAGTTTGTACAAAAGGAACTTCTCAAGACTTCATCAGTAAATTCAACAAGTACAAATCCGTATGTCAAGGAATGGGGTACAAAACAATGAACTGTTCTGAAGGTGAGAAAAGTACTCATTAACTTAGAAATTTTAGAATTTACTCCCTTTCTTGAATGTACACTGAATACTTTTGTTCATATCAGAAATTTTATATCACGCTATTTTAAAACAATGATATTATGTCAACAATTGTATAATAGAATGAGGGTATTTTTTTTAAATTTACATACCTAAATTGAAATCATCCACCATATGTACGCAAGACAAATGAATATTAGTTTCTATTGTTGAATAAAGCGTAACATATGGTATTTATTTTGAACAGACATTGCTTTCCATGCACTTTTGTCTAAACGACAAGAGAATTTTGGAAAGAGCGCTGTTATCGTATTTGGGAAAGTATTACTGAACACCGGAAATGCTTATGACGTTACGACAGGTAAATTCACAGCACCTGAGGATGGTATCTATACATTTACGTGGACCATAGTTACCACAACTGGAAAATATTTTTTCACAGAAATTGTTCTCAGTGGTAACCTAAATGGTTATAATCATGTAGAAAGCTCCTCGGGCAGTTTTCACTGGGCATCGGGAACTTCATCAGCTGTTATAAAAATGAAGAAGAAAGATGAAGTCTGGATAAGAACACATGGTGACGCAGGAAAGTTTGCTTACGAAAACTAGTCATCCTTTTCGGGATTTAAATTGTAACATGATTCAAATAAAGCTATATTACAACTGATTTCTTGTATATGTATCTACTTCATAGTCATTTTCACCTTTGAATACATTAGATATTTTATTAGTGAAGTTCATAATGGCAAATTAGCTACAGTAACTATGATATATATGATGAATTTAAATTCTCTATCTTTAAATTTCCTTAGTCATTTACCAGTATTGAAAATACAAAAACAACAAAGCTGGATACAACTCACACATTTTTGGCACAACCTATTTGGTCCAATAATTTTTTACCTACCAAGGCAAATCGTTTTGTTTTAAAAACTGGGCGAGAAGTCGAGTCTTATATACAAAGCACATATTTAATGAAAATGGAAAATTAAATTCTCTAGTCGATCTTTCACGTGTTATTATAAACAAAAGTTACTGGTTTTAAGAATATATGATAATTAAGACAGAATTTAAAAAACTATAAAATCTTTGATTATTAATAGATGGGCTAGTCATCCTGTTGAAAATTGTCCCCCGGCGAATGTGGGTGCTTCTCCAATTCTTTTTATTTATTAAATCATATAGAATCCAATCGTAATCTTATACGGTTATTATACTGAAAGGAAAAAGAAACGCACAAGAGCTAATATGCGAAAAATATTTAACGATGTGGCCGAAAATTATAAAAATTGGTCAGATGTGTATTTTTGTTACTGTGCACTAAAATCGCAGGTCAAAATTACTCAACCATGAAATGTATGGCGTCACGTAGGGGAAGTGATAAAAAGCCAAAAACACGTGCACATTAATGATGACAGTTTTGTGACCACATTTTGTAGTGCCAAGAGATGCATTAGAGTTATAGACATCGTTTTCCGATATTTGCAGTCAGTATAAATTTCTTGCAATCATGGTATGGCTGACGGA